ATAGATAGATAGATAGATAGATAGATAGATAGATAGATAGATAGATAGATAGATAGATAGATAGATAGATAGATAGATAGATAGATAGATAGATAGATAGATAGATAGATAGATAGATAGATAGATAGATAGATAGATAGATAGATAGATAGATAGATAGATAGATAGATAGATAGATAGATAGATGTGTGGATAGATAGATAGATAGATAGATAGATAGATAGATAGATAGATAGATAGATAGATAGATAGATAGATAGATAGATAGATAGATAGATAGATAGATAGATAGATAGATAGATAGATAGATAGATAGATAGATAGATAGATAGATAGATAGATAGATAGATAGATAGATAGATAGATAGATAGATAGATAGATAGATAGATAGATAGATAGATGTGTGGATAGATAGATAGATAGATAGATAGATAGATAGATAGATAGATAGATAGATAGATAGATAGATAGATAGATAGATAGATAGATAGATAGATAGATAGATAGATAGATAGATAGATAGATAGATAGATAGATAGATAGATAGATAGATAGATAGATAGATAGATAGATAGATAGATAGATAGATAGATGTGTGGATAGATAGATAGATAGATAGATAGATAGATAGATAGATAGATAGATAGATAGATAGATAGATAGATAGATAGATAGATAGATAGATAGATAGATAGATAGATAGATAGATAGATAGATAGATAGATAGATAGATAGATAGATAGATAGATAGATAGATAGATAGATAGATAGATAGATAGATAGATAGATAGATAGATAGATAGATAGATAGATAGATAGATAGATAGATAGATGTGTGGATAGATAGATAGATAGATAGATAGATAGATAGATAGATAGATAGATAGATAGATAGATAGATAGATAGATAGATAGATAGATAGATAGATAGATAGATAGATAGATAGATAGATAGATAGATAGATGTGTGGATAGATAGATAGATAGATAGATAGATAGATAGATAGATAGATAGATAGATAGATAGATAGATAGATAGATAGATAGATGTGTGGATAGATAGATAGATAGATAGATAGATAGATAGATAGATAGATAGATAGATAGATAGATAGATAGATAGATAGATAGATAGATAGATAGATAGATAGATAGATAGATAGATAGATAGATAGATAGATAGATAGATAGATAGATAGATAGATAGATAGATAGATAGATAGATAGATAGATAGATAGATAGATAGATAGATAGATAGATAGATAGATAGATAGATAGATAGATAGATAGATAGATAGATAGATAGATAGATAGATAGATAGATAGATAGATAGATAGATAGATAGATAGATAGATAGATAGATAGATAGATAGATAGATAGATAGATAGATAGATAGATAGATAGATAGATAGATAGATAGATAGATAGATAGATAGATAGATAGATAGATAGATAGATAGATAGATAGATAGATAGATAGATAGATAGATAGATAGATAGATAGATAGATAGATAGATAGATAGATAGATAGATAGATAGATAGATAGATAGATAGATAGATAGATAGATAGATAGATAGATAGATAGATAGATAGATAGATAGATAGATAGATAGATAGATAGATAGATAGATAGATAGATAGATAGATAGATAGATAGATAGATAGATAGATAGATAGATAGATAGATAGATAGATAGATAGATAGATAGATAGATAGATAGATAGATAGATAGATAGATAGATAGATAGATAGATAGATGTGTGGATAGATAGATAGATAGATAGATAGATAGATAGATAGATAGATAGATAGATAGATAGATAGATAGATAGATAGATAGATAGATAGATAGATAGATGTGTGGATAGATAGATAGATAGATAGATAGATAGATAGATAGATAGATAGATAGATAGATAGATAGATAGATAGATAGATAGATAGATAGATAGATAGATAGATAGATAGATAGATAGATAGATAGATAGATAGATAGATAGATAGATAGATAGATAGATATATAGATGTGTGGATAGATAGATAGATAGCTGTGTGGATAGATAGATAGATAGATAGATAGATAGATAGATAGATAGATAGATAGATAGATAGATAGATAGATAGATGTGTGGATAGATAGATAGATAGATAGATAGATAGATAGATAGATAGATAGATAGATAGATAGATATTACACCACTATAGATAGAAAGATGGATGTGTGGATAGATATTTGGATCAGTAAGTGTAATTTAACTCAATGTTGTGAATGTCCGTTAGAATAATTCACAAACAATGTGATCGGTGCATTGTTCACGATGACAAATGTCAATAATCGGTTGTATGTGACGGACACAATGGATCACAATAGACAGACATTAGATCTAATGTGTTTATTTTTCAATAAGTTCACATAACTCATTCAATGTCTATGTATAGATAATTTCAATCGGAACACAAGATAATATGCGGTAAGTGAGTGGCGTTTGGTTTGAGTGATTGACTTACTTAGAAGAGTGTAATTCTTGTGAATCTGTGAAACATTAAATAATTCATTGAATACCAATGTCGATTGATTTTGATTGTCAGTGCATAGATTAGCGTGAAATAAGTAGTATGTTAGTTAGTATGTAATCTGATGCTTACTGGGCTAGGAGAGTTGTTTGTTAATAGATGATAAACAATATAATCCTATTGTTGAAGAAGAATAAGCTTCGAAATGTCTCCAGGTTATTAAAACTATTCTTGTTATTCAGATGTTTTGAAACATACGTTTTGAACAATGTTTAGACATGAAATTCCCTCAAATATATATGGATATGAGATAAATCGTGTGAGAGGTTTGACATATAGAAGAAAGGTATAAATCACTAAAATAAAGGTAGATATCACCACTAATCTGTTTCGTAGGTATAAGTTGACTGATTGACAGATTTAGGTGTGAATGTTTCTTCTGAATATACTAATTATCTTTCTATCTATAACTGAAGGTTTCATAAATTCAAGACTCGACGACGACAACAACAACAAGTAGAGTCGAATATCCACTCGTCTATATATTCATTCATACACCCATTTCGATTATTCATTACAATGAGATCACATATATGAAGAATATTCAAACTGATAACAAAATCACACACACACAACATGTCATACTGAGTATTGTCCATGTTCATTCAACAATACATGAATGATGTATCTTGAATAAAACATCACATTCAAATCAATTAATGTTATATTGAATAAAATATGAACACAGTCAAATCAAAACAAATTTCACTCTGACTAATCATTATATTGAAATAGAAAATGGATGGACTGTTGAACAGGAATCACCACCATTAGTCAAACAATATTATCTTGTTTATTGAACCCGCCATATAAGATGGAAATGTGACCTTACCAGTGCAGTATATATGCCTTCTAATAAGAAACATTCATTCATTAATTCAATTATACCTTGTAGAATAGGTGAAAAGTGATGAATACAGATGATAATATAGATGAGATAGATAATCAATGCGTGATATGTGGAACCTTATCAATTCCACATGATTATACTGTGAGGTAATTATTGTAAGCTAATTATGCTTGAACTAGTTTTAATTAACAGGAAGAATGTTGAATTTGCTTTCATCGTTTCCTTGTCTGTGTTTCCCGAAATCCAACGAACATTTGTGTAGATTACATCAATATTAGTTCGGACAAATTTGTTTGAGAGATTTTGTTTATTCATTGAAATTAGTAATGTGTGACATTCTACGCCACTAAGCAATATGTGAACTGAAATAAGTTTATCAGAATGTGGATTTGTGGATACTGTAGTACTGTGATAGTTAAATTCATGGATCGATCTTAGCTAGATCAGAAGTGAGATGCTAGAAACAGTTTAACGATCGTTTCGTCTTGGTATGTGACTCCTCAACAGTGCATGTGTACGATCCCTCACGAAAGATTCGAACTCAGGACCTTGTGTGTCGCACGTGAACGTTAATTCTCTATACCACTGTGCTAGCATCCAATGGTGTTAATGTTTAACTTCGACAGATCCATGATTATGCGTAACGTGTAATTGGCTTTTTAATGTGTAAATAATTGTTAGAAATTAATGAAACTCTAAGAAGAAATTGTCTTAATTTCCGGAAAGTATTTTGCACAGTTCTCGAATGTCTCAAAACGAGATGAAACGTCTTCGAACGACCTACTCATTTTTGAATATTTTTGTAATGTGATCTGAATAGAAGTGAATGTTTATTCAAACTATGGAAGTTTCAATCATTCCAACTTAAAATAAATTGTAGATTCAAACCTGTGAGTATATCATTTGATTTCCATTATTCATATCCCTGTAACTCATTCATAATAAGACGGATATTTCAAATGGAATAAAATAAAGCATTTTTAACCGGTCGTTATTGAAAAACTGTAATAGGAAGAAAAAAACTGCCATTCACGGATATAAAAATGTCAAATAGGTAGTGAATGAAGACTAAATGACATATAGATTATATATATAAACACGAACTATTTGGAAAACCATGAGCAGAATAAAAAACAATCATCATGTACTTACGTGAAAAGAAAGCAACATACGTCGTACATATAATAATCATTCTTGTCAATATGATTTACGCAAATGATAGCCTAGATGCTAACAGTAGAGAATTACTCAGTTTGCATGAAAAATACAGACAGGATTTGGTTGATTGTAAAGTTGATGGACAACCTCCAGCTAAATATATGTCACCATTGGTAAATTACTCACTATTCAATAATCTCTTCAAATAATATACGTAACGCTTATTTGTAGAAATGGAATTACAATCTGGCTGCACAAGCACAAAAATTGGCGAACAAATGCATCTTGCAACACGACAAACGTCATTCGGATGAATTCCGTTGGGTTGGACAAAATATTGCACTCCATCCAACCATTAAGTCGTAAGCTCATTTCTATTCAATTCACTGTTTTCTGATTCAGAGGAGTAGATGCTTGGTTCAATGAGCACAAATTATATGACTACGATCAAAACAACTGTATGGCATGTTTGCATTACACACAAGTAAGTCCATTCTCATCCACTTCAACATAGTTCAACATACCCACAGTCATTTGCCACTCACCATTCACACCTATTATAATGCACCACGAATGTGTGATAACAATCAAGTGGTTTCACTTTTCTACAGGAGTGACTGAAAAACACATGTAAATACACATAATCCGATGATTGCAGTTATGCACACAGGTATCCACAACACTTGATCATATTTGAGTATGTGTGTTTTGTTGAGAATTGAGGTGATTCGTTGGAAAACAACAGATAGGAAATTTGTTTCTGACCAGCATGTACTAAGACTGACGAGTGCATTCAAATCCTAATCAATCTGTCAACACTAGTGTCAACACTAGTGTGAACACACAAACACAATATTGCAATCTACTCAACAGAAATTCATTGTGTATAGATGGGAGATGACGATGTTGTGATGGGTGAAATGATTTCGACTGTTGGTTGACATGAGACAGAATGAGTGGGAGAGTGAGAGAGAGTGACTGATTGATTGATTGATTCGTGAATTGATATTTTGAGTGAGTGAGTGATCTGCAGAATTCAACTAGTTATCATAACTGCACCAAGTGTAAACATACTCATTCAACACATACTGGAATTTCCACGTGTATCGCCTTCAGTTGACAACATTATCTCCATCATTTATAAGTAATGTATTTACACACAGGTCATGTTGAAACATAGTGGAAATGCCTTGCAATTGGCCTACCGAACGATCACATTATTTCCTTGTTCACATTCCGTTTCAGATGGCTTGGGCCAAGACCACAGACATTGGATGTGGAGTTGCGAGTTGTCCAAGGTACGGTCTATCAATCGTGTGTAATTATGGTCCAGGGTAAGTGATTGCTCTTGATGATGTGTGAGGAGATGTTATTGTTTGCAATCACCTTGTTGTTGTTCTCATAGTGAATGTAACTGATGTTTTATATTGTGTTGACTGTTTTAGTGGTAATTGGAATAATGAGCAACCATATGAAGTGAGATCTCGTGAATTCTGCCCAAGCGGTGAAAATACGAACAATGAGATCTTTGTTCCATCAACAATTAATCAGTTGCATGAATTTACTTTGTCAAATGTGTTGAATGAGCGAACCGTTTCACTGGATATGCCTAATAGTTCAAATGATGGAAATCATATGAACATTCATATGTTAAATAAAACTTTACCTGGGCCAAATATATTAATGAATGATTCTATTTGTTATTATGTTTCTCATTGATTCAATGTTGTCCTCATTTATATAATTATCAGTAATGCAATATATATACTAAATTGTACAAAATGTATTCTGTTTTTATTCTTCTTTTTTGCGAAACGATATTTCTGAAATCGTTAGTTATTTATTGCTTAAATGTATTCAATATCATAATTAGGCGGGAAAATTAGATAGTTATCATTCTATATTAATAAACTTTCCCATTTTCATTTCATAACAAACAGACATATGAATTCATAAATTGTCTCATATCATTTTGTGGTGTATGAATAAACGAATGATTCCTTTGTACTTGTTGAATGCTTGATTACGAATTCTAAATACCGTACATTCGTTTGTGGTTATCTAGTACTTCTTGATCCGATTACGTTATTTCTGATATTCTTAGTTCATACTATAATTCAAATACTACTAATCATCACACATTTCTTAATCGGTCAAACAATATACGTATACTATCATTAACCATATCAAGGCGGCCTGCTTGAACATTTGGGCTACCTGTTCCTGCCATCTAGATATTTCAACAAGTTATCTATTTTTGTTTGTTTGAATATATCATTATGTCTATTAATCGCGCAACCTATTCTGCTGTGTTTCTGAAAAGTGTACAACCTTTCATTGTCAAAGTTACAAAAAGCTCAAAAAGAGAGAATGTGGTTGCTAGCAATGTACAACGAAAAGAACGTACATTATTCAGATGTTCATTTACTGGACTGCTAACATCTTACTGGCGATCACTTAGTATTTATCGCAAGGACCGACCAAGAAGAAAGAAACGGAAACTTGTTGAAATACCCTGTGCTGAGAATTCTATATTGTACCAATAATATAATATTGAATAAAGCTAATAATAATAATAATAATAATAATAATAATAATAACCATCATTCATCCCCATTTACAGTCTTTGTGACTGAATGACAGTGTCGAGACAATTTGAATAAGATACATATTAGACAATCTTAAATGTCAATGAGAAGATTTAAACAACCATTACTAATAAATTAAAATCTTGTTGTTTTTTATTGCATAATCCAGTAACATTCAAGTTTATAATTCATTCAAGACATGTGAATGTTAAAATTCTAGTTCATTTTACAAATACTCCTACATCTACATACTTTTACTCCTTTGATTACTTATGGAGTATAGGCCACCGACCAGCATTCTCCAACTCACTCTGTCATGAGCCTTCGTTTCTAGTTCTATGCTATATCTACATACTGTAATTTTTAATACCATATATTTCCCTCATAGTAAACTATTGTTATTTATTATTAATTTGGACATATAACTACAGAATAAGACGAGAATTTATTGAAAGACATCTTCTTCTTGTATATAGCTCTTTTAATTACAAAAGTCATTAAAGAGAGTGGCAGTAAAATTTGTTATAGATTGTCAAGTGACAATTTTACTAGATCATCTGAGTAATATACAAAGTAAGAGAAATGTGAAGTCAACGCAAATCTACGTTAATCGATAAAGCTTGATGGGTAAATTAAGAATCGGTTTGTAATATGTGGTCTAAGTATGAATTGACTCATCTGAAAAATAGTCATTGACTTAATCTCCTTGAAAAAAAACACATCTTCCATCTTCAGTATTTGATCGAATATGGAACGATTCTCATGCTCGTTTAGGTAGATTGTTTGGGACTTGATGCTCAACCGATAAAAATCGATTTATACTAACGCAAACATTACTACCCACAAAGAGAGAAAGCATGGTAATTTTGAAATAATTCATATTAAGACAAGAACTGAACCGGTAAAAAAAAATGGTGAAACAATCTAGCCCGATGAATTGAACGAAATTCACCGTAAAAATGCATGATTATATTAGACATAAATAAATTCAATGATCATATCATTTTGAAATGTCAAATATTAAATGATGAGTGCGGACTGTTCAGAACTGTCAACGTACTGGAAATTCTGATTTGGTTAAGAGAATAATTGAATGAGCGAAGATATGAAACCAACTAAATAATCTAGAGGTGAATAAATTGTGATGTCAATCTGTGATAGTATACCACTAAAGATAGATAGATTATTGTGTGGATAGATAGATAGATAGGTAGATGTGTGGATAGATATTTGGATCACCAAGTTTAATTAAACTCAATATTGTGAAAGTCCGTTAGATTAATTCACAAACAATGTGATCGGTGCATTGTTCACGATGACAAATGTCAATAATCGGTTGTATGTGACGGACACAATGGATCACAATAGACAGACATTAGATCTAATGTGTTTATTTTTCAATAGGTTGACACAACTCATTCAATGTCTATGTATAGATAATTTCAATCGGAACACAAGATGATATGCGGTAAGTGAGTGGCGTTTGGTTTGAGTGATTGACTTACTTAGAAGAGTGTAATTCTTGTGAATCTGTGAAACATTAAATAATTCATTGAATACCAATGTCGATTGATTTTGATTGTCAGTGCATAGATTAGCGTGAAATAAGTAGTATGTTAGTTAGTATGTAATCTGATGCTTACTGGGCTAGGAGAGTTGTTTGTTAATAGATGATAAACAATGTAATCCTATTGTTGAAGAAGAAGAAGCTTCGAAATGTCTTCACGTTTAAGTGCAATATTCAGACATGAAATTGACTCGAATATATATGGATATGATATAAATCGTGTGAGAGGCTTGACATATAAAAGAATGGTATAAATCACTGAAATGAAGGTAGATATCACCATTAATCTGTTTCGTACATATACGTTCTGTAAATAGCCATCACATATTTAACTACATTTTACAATTCACTGCCACTGGAATACACTCGAATCATTGCCCTTGTGCAGTTGCCTTTTCTATACACAATCTTTCCAGTCAAACAAACTACTGTCTCATGAGTTGAAATGACCACATTTGTATAAAATAGATTAAGTAAAGTTGGTAATCGGGTGTTGTAGATGAAGTCAAATCAGGAATCATATCGGTGTTACTAACATGTATATATTGATATTGATTTAAGTGTTTTGCACCAACAAGTTGTTGTCAGACTATGGATGAAATACTATTGAACATTACAAACATGAACAAATTGACACTAATTTACAATTGGAAACATAGCTACATTAAATTTACACTTCTCCTTTATGTCGGAATGAGCCTCAATACAACCGTTCGAACTATGTATTACGATACCAATAGATCATCATACAAATCATCTTATCACGATTGTTGAATTGTGATTGAACCAAAAATATGCTCCATGTGTAGATTGAAGATTGGATTGAACATAGTCCACAATCGAATGACGGATTAACATTTATAATTATGTCACATAGGAATAAACATTTAACTAATTTCCAGCTTGTGTAATAAATGAACACAATCATGCATTGAATACTTATTACAATGTAATCATCATCCATAATTAACAACAGATTTGTTATCCGAATATGGTTTCTGATTTTAAAAACAAACAAAAAAACAAACGAATATTTGATTCTATGAACTATGGATCATAGATCTTTATAATACAAGGTTGAATGACATGAAAACGAATAAAGTGAGCTACATTATTTCCTCATTTGTATTGACAGTTCGAAATTTCTAACGTAATAAATACAAGCACCTTATGATGACATTCTATGAATACGATGTCATTTCAAACTAATAACCACATAAACTATGGAATATAGCTTGAAACAAACATGATTGTTCCATTTACACACTTATCACTTCATTGTATTTTGACTTACTTTTATCCTACTTGTTATTCCATTAAATCTTATTGATTAACATAATTGTCTAAGTAGGTTTCCTTACGTTTAAAAATGAGAATACTATCAAGCTCTTTGAGATAAATAATTAATGAATGAGCATCATAAATGATCATGCAAACTTCATGTCTAATCAAAGTTACAATATCATTACGAGAACTCTATTCTAATCTAAGTTATACATGTATTTTCAACGAATTCCAATATCCTAGTTTTCGATGATATTTAATTGATAAGTAAAGGAATATGTGAAAACAGTACCATCTCATTCATTCCTTTACGGATTATAAAAGTTGTGACGTTGAATTTTATCCGTAATGTCAATAATGAGATCATTGTGAAATGTCAAATTTTATATGATAAGGGTGGACTGTTCAGAACTGTTCACGTACTTGAAATTCCTATCGGCTTAAGAGAATAAAGGAGTGATTAAATATGTCAACCCAACTACATAATCTCGAGGTGAGTAAATTGTGATGTCAATCTATGATCGTACACCGCTATAGATAGATAGATAGATAGATAGATAGATAGATAGATAGATGTGTGGATAGATAGATAGATAGATAGATAGATAGATAGATAGATAGATAGATAGATAGATAGATAGATAGATAGATAGATAGATAGATAGATAGATAGATAGATAGATAGATAGATAGATAGATAGATAGATAGATAGATAGATAGATAGATAGATAGATAGATAGATAGATAGATAGATAGATAGATAGATAGATAGATAGATAGATAGATAGATAGATAGATAGATAGATAGATGTGTGGATAGATAGATAGATAGATAGATAGATAGATAGATAGATAGATAGATAGATAGATAGATAGATAGATAGATAGATAGATAGATAGATAGATAGATAGATAGATAGATAGATAGATAGATAGATAGATAGATAGATAGATAGATAGATAGATAGATAGATAGATAGATAGATAGATAGATAGATAGATAGATAGATAGATAGATAGATAGATAGATAGATAGATAGATAGATAGATAGATAGATAGATAGATAGATAGATAGATAGATAGATAGATAGATAGATAGATAGATAGATAGATAGATAGATAGATAGATAGATAGATAGATAGATAGATAGATAGATAGATAGATAGATAGATAGATAGATAGATAGATAGATAGATAGATAGATAGATAGATAGATAGATAGATAGATAGATAGATAGATAGATAGATAGATAGATAGATAGATAGATAGATAGATA